TACTCTCACACGTTATTCGTTCCTTGGAGATCCGTCCTGGGTCTGACTGGAAGCGGTTATCAGCAAGGACCTTGAATACATAACCCAAGTCTAGTCCCCCCATCGTATCGTATCGTATCTCTCGTCTAAGTCAACGTTTGGTCTAGTCATTTTAAGTCTAGCCAAGCCAAATCCAGCCTGAAAACGATCAAACATCTGATCTATTGAGCTTCAGCTTATTGCGTTCTCGTATTCCACTCTCTAGTCGACTCTGTTATCGTCTTTCCTTCCTTATTTTTTCCTCTCTTCTTCTGGCAATCATTCTCTTGGCCTTTTCGCTCCTTCTTGACTTTTACCTCTACTATACCCGTCAATGGCTTGATCCTTCTTTTTCACACCTACGCCTCTTCAGCACCAGCAGCACGTCTATTTGACCACTACAGACAGATTCATCATCGCCACATCAGTTGCTTAGGACATCAAACTACGCGCATTTACTGGTCCATCGATAAAGCCTCTTACAAAATAAATCTCTATAAAGATCCGATCTTACCATCACTTAAGTACCCGCGACTTCCTGGAGAAGCCCATTGATCGCTGAGCGACACATACACATACAAACCTTTCAATCATCATGAAGCTTAATAGATTGGCTCTGGCCGGTCTGGCTTCTCTAGCCACTGCCACCAGAACAGCACCCAAATCACTCGACACCTCAAATCCAGGTACGTGCTACAGTCATGTACTTCGTTACACCACTGACAACCTCAGACTCCATCAGAAATGTAGCAGGAACCCTGGCTTTCGATGCCATGTCTTACTACAAAGGCAACACTTCTTCAAACCCCAAAGACTTAGGTGATCTTCAAGATCCTTACTACTGGTGGGTAGCTGGTGCCCTTTGGGGCATCATGCTCGACTACTACCACCTCACTGGAGATTACACATACAACGATGTCATTATCGAAGCACTTCTGGGTCCTACAAACCTCGGAAAGGGTCTCGACTACATGCCTGCCGAGCATGCTGATGAAGAGGGCAACGACGATCTCTTCTTCTGGGGAAATGCTGTCCTGTCCGCCGCTGAACGAAACTTCCCTCAGCCTAACAAAGACCTTCCTTCTTGGCTTGACATTGCCAAAAACGTCTTCAACGAGCTTGCTGGTCGCTGGGACGACAGCACGTGTGGAGGTGGTCTTCTATGGCAAATCTACCCAGATAACCCCAACGGCATGACATACAAAAACTCGGTCAGCAACGGTGGTTTCTTCCAGCTCGCTGCCCGTCTTGGCCGAATCACGGGTGAATCCAAGTACCTCGACTGGGCCGTTAAGATCTGGGACTGGTCGTGGGATGTTGGATTCATTGACCACCGCAACTACCACGTCTATGATGGCACCGATATTAAAGACAACTGTCAAAAGACCGTTTATCATTCATTTACTTATACACAGGGTATCTACCTGTACGGAGCTGCTGTTATGGCAAACCACACTGGAAATCAAGAGTGGGTTGATCGCAGCAAGAACTTGCTTAAGGGCACTGACTGGTTCTTCGCACCTTTTGGCAACGTCACCAACGTCATGTATGAAGCCGCCTGCGAGACTGTCATGACTTGCACTGCAGACATGACCACTTTCAAGGGTTACCTATCACGCTTCATGTACTTGTCCATCCAAATGCAACCTGCCCTGAAAGAGCACGTCCACGCTCACCTTGAGCCAACTGTCAAAGCTGCTGTCCAGACCTGCACAGGTGGTAAGACAGGTCGTGAGTGCGGTTTGCGATGGTACGTTGAAGGAAATGATGGAAGCACTGGACTCGGTCAGCAAATGTGCGCTCTCGAAGCAGTTCAGGGACTGTTGTTAGGTGACGCTCCCGCGCCGCTACAGGGCAAAGATGTCAAGGTCATCCGTAGCACAGACTGGGCTGCCATGGACGTTCACGAGTCCAAGATTAAGAGCACCCCATCCTCGTCTTCCAAATCCGCCGAGACGGCGTCAGCAACGGCTGATGCAGCTCCTAAGCCTACAAAGAGTGAGGATGCGGCCAACGGGTACCGGGCCGATCTCGTCCTTGCATCGTTCAGTATTGTAACTGTCCTCACCTTCCTGGGACTGGCTTAGACAAAAGTTATTGATGATTGATTAGATCTTAAACGGGATAGAATGGACAGGCGTTCGGGCAATGGATTGATTATCGATTGGTCTAAAGGACCAAAATTCTTATAAGACGCTCATGTCTATGAGTGTTGTCTTTTATAATTTCACGAGATTACGTCTAGAAATCTAGATCTAACTTTCGAACGCCATTTTATCGTTGTTCCCCGTCGTGCTTTAGGACCCTCTAACTTCAGCCAATGTTGTCTTCAAAGACTCCAAAAATCTTGTCACTTCGGCGTCTGTACCGACTGTGATACGTAGACATCCTAGGCATCCGTGCTCTTTGCCTCTGAATCGCACAACCACACCCTTGCCTTCGGCGAGTTTCTCGTACACAGCCAGGGCAACACTGTTGTCTGGCTCACCCGCTGAGTTGAGCATCTCATAAAGCAAAAAGTTACTCTCGGTGCCACCTCGTAGACGTCCAACACCAGGGATGTTGGGCAGTTCCTTGATAAGACGATCGCGCGACTCTAGGAGACGAGCGCGGTGGTCTCTCATAATAGCAAGACCCTTCTCGGAGACAGCGTATGATGCAAGAGCGCTCGTAGGACTAGAGATGTTGTAAGGGGCCTTGAGACTGTTGAGGAGTCGGGCAATGGGAGGTGATGTGAATGCAGCACCGAGACGGATACCAGCCATGCCAAAGGCCTTAGACAGGGTTTGCATAACTACCAAGTTGGGGAACTCGGTAACCCACTCAGCGAGAGAAGCATCGTCGGGGGCAAAGTCGATGTAGGCCTCGTCAAGGACTACAACTCCGTTCCATGTTGGGTGGTCGAGGATCTTCTGGACATCGGACTTGGCGAGAACTGAACCGGTAGGGTTACCTGGTGAGCAAAGGTAGACGAGCTTGATGTTGGGCTCATTCGTCAAGGCTTCGAGGACAGCAGGCACATCAATGCTGAATGAGGGAGCCTCCAGAAGAGGAACCTTGACTATGGCCACGTCGTTGACCTGTGCAGACACGGAGTACATGCCGTATGTAGGGGGGCAGGTAAGAATACGGTCCTTTCCAGGCACACAGAAGCATCGCAGCAGCGCATCGATGGCCTCATCACTTCCGACTCCAACGAAAAGGTTCTCAGGCTTAAGCGTCTTGCTCGTGTGGGCGTGGGTATTGCGCAACTCGCAAAGCTGCTGTTTCAATGGCTCCTGGTGAGGGTCGGGATAACGGTGGAGGCCGAGAAGATCGACGTCGACGCCATTGGCAGTCTGCTTGGCGACATCTGAGTTCAAAGAAGGACCATACGCGTTCTCGTTGGCATCGAGAAGGATGTTCGTACCGTCATCCTTGTAATCGCTGTATCAATGGTTAGTCCTCTCTTTCGGTTGATGCGGGGGAGGGGCAACTTGCTCTCTAGCACAGCGATACGGCTGTAGAGCCAGAATATTGGGTCTAGCGCAGGTTTCGAGGTTGAAGGGAGGCATTGGGAGTCTAATTGAGTGTTTACGTGAAGATGATATGAAAGGGAATGCGAAGCTCTTGCTCTTTAAGCTGTTAACGTATAGCCACTTTTGCTTGATAAGGCCGACGCCGGAGGGGCGAGTCATCGGACTTTTTGTGGGGCGCGATATTATCGTGGGAAAGGCGTTCAAAGGCATTGGATGGTTGACCAAGGGAAGATTTGATGTCGGTACCTTGATAAGCAATTGGACAAGGATTGAATCTGGACAATGACTGCATGAGAATTTCGGAGTCTTTCTGAGTTAGCATTGGTTCATCTACGCTGTCGAGTCACTTACATGTCCTTCCACTACCCTATAGAGAAAGAGAATAATACTTGAACAGGCATACTATAAGCTCAATCAGTGTAACAGAGCATCCTATCCTTGGACTAAGGCTATTATATCTCGCTTCTGATAATATACACGGCTGAGTGGAAACTATTGGTGTTCCTTCACAAAACATTGCAAAGAAAACATTAGCAAAACTCGTCGAGAGAAGCAACGAAAATAGTCAACCAGACTGACTACTTTATTTTCTTAAAATATATTAAAGCTTCAAAGGTGAATAGAGCAGTAAATTGAGGTTTGGGACAGCAAATCACTTACAAGAAGCTGTAGAAGTATCTGGAGAAATCCGGACGTAGGCGAGACGACGATTGACTAACACAGCGCAACTGCAGCTAACAATATATTCATAGCTATGAACCTCTTTCAACAAGAAAGGTCGCGTGGCCCAATGGCAAGGCGTCTGACTACGAATCAGAAGATTCTGGGTTCGATCCCCAGCGTGATCAATCTTTTTGCCTGTGGTGTCGAATATTCGTCGATCTTGGTTGTGGGGAGAGAGTCGGCGCAAAGCTTTTTTGTGGGTTAGGTAACCAAGTTAGCGTTAACTTCACTTGCGGCAACTGACTTGCTACTGACAGTATATCAAGTTTAATAATAGCCGAGTAATTAGAACTTGGAACCGAAGTCTGATAGACTATTTCCGTACTCTTTGAATTGTCTTTCCAAGCAGGATGGCGAATATGGGTCGGCAAGTGGTTGAGTTGGGTTGGTATAAGTCAGGTTGAGTCGTGATTGGCTAGAACAACTTTTATTCTGATCAACTCTACACTGCATTCTTCTCGCTTTACTTCTCAATAAGATACAAGAGAACTACACAGAAATCTCTAAATCTTATAACTAGTAATTCATGTTGTTACTTTGCAACTTGACAGAAACTTCCAACATCCCACTGTGGGCTTCGCTTCTCGTGTCCCGCTTCACCAAGTGGGTTTTCCACAGAAGACATACAATGGCTACGATGCCGGTCGAACCGCATTCACCTATGAGAAGTCTCTTGAGAATTCACTTCCCACTTCTATCACGGACTAATAAATCTAATTATGAAGTCGTTTGACATGAAACGGTCGCGTGGCCCAATGGGTAAGTTCAATCACCAGTGCACCTCACTGAGGTCACAAACCATAAGCATTCAATACTAACAAAGGAACCAGCAAGGCGTCTGACTACGAATCAGAAGATTCTGGGTTCGATCCCCAGCGTGATCATTGCTTTTTGCCAGTGTTGATCAAACGATGTATTGTTCTAGGTCATATTCATAAGAAAGTCATAAAGTGTCTATCGTATAATCTAAATTCGTGATCTCAATTTCATAAGTCATAAACTTCATCAGATCCCTGAGTCATCTTGCTCCATCTCCATTCCGTGTGAGAAATCATTCCATGCCTTGCAGCCGTTTTCAATCTCCTCGTATTCCTGATCCGATACCAGTGCCGGGATTTCGTCTTCTCGTACAACAAACTGTAGTGAAAAGCCTTCGGCAGCATGCCATCCTATATGACAGTGCATGAGCCACACGCCAGGATTATCAGTAAGAAAAGCGATAACCAAGTGCCCTTTCGCAGGCAATAGGGCAGTATCACGACGTGGCGGATTCTCCGTTTTGAGGGTGACATTGGGACCGTATGGTCCCACACCCTGGGCGAGAATATGGTAATCAAAACCATGAAGGTGAATCGGATGAGAGATGTCAAGTTCCGTCTCGATAGCGAGGTAGACCCATGCGTCCTTCTTTGGAATGCGAATCACAGCATTTGAATCGGTAAATGAGGTGTTGGTGCCGAGTTTGAGGAGTGAAGGGTGGTTCCATTCAGCAATCATGGTAGTACTGTTGAGAGACCACTTGATGATGCCGTCCGAGTTCCAAGATCGGTTGGCATTCTCAACGACTTCGGTATCAGGGGGGCCGACAATATGGGGAACGACAGGTACGATGCTCTCATAGGGTTCGTCTTCGCAGTGATCCTCAAATTTTCGTCCTTTCGTTGTGGGCATCGAACTGTTGGATGAGTAAGACACAATACCAAGAGCGTTTTGTGGATTGGCGTTTTTGGTGCAGTCGAGCTGGGGGATAGCACGGAGCCAAAAGGCAGATGCCTTTGAGGCTTGGTTGGCGGTAACAAGAATATCCATGCGTTCACCTAAGCATATTAGAGGGATAGCAAGAAAAGGAAGCAGAGGGTCATACCGATTGCGATGCTCACATGGTCGGTCTCGTATGGCTCGATAGAAACAAAATCCACAGCAATAACTTTAAGAGTATGATGGTCAATGGAGAATTTGTAGAGCGTATCGATGCCAGTATTGACGAGACGAAGTCGGTATGTCTTGCCCTCCTCAAAGTCCAGTCTGAATCTTTCACCGGTCTGATTCTTGTGACCTTCTTTCCTGCACGTGTTGGTACCGTTGATGAGCACATTGTCCATCAACGCAGGGCCCTTTCTCTGAACTTCGGGTAGGATCTGGTTGACAGTTTGGTGAGACCAATCACTCAGCATAATGGTTCCCACATCCTCGTCGTAGTTGGCGCTTGCTGGGCCACGGATGATCAAGCCGCCATAGACGCCATCATAGGTCTGAAGACCAAAATGCGAGTGATACCACGAAGTTCCGTACTGAGTAGCCCGCCACCTATATGTTGTTGAAGACCCAGGAGCCACAGGACACTGTGTAACAGCAACCACACCATCCTGAGGGTTCGTGTAGTTCTGATGAGTGCCGTGGAAGTGGAAGGATGAGCCATTGGTCGAAGTCTTCAGGTTGCTCGTCAAGTGAACGACAACATTATCGCCCCAGTCTGCAAAGATAGTCGGGCCTAAGAAGTTAGATCCTGAATTAAAGCTTTCGTATGGCAGAAATCTTACCAGGTACTGTTCCATTGATGGCTTGGGCGAACCTAGGGACTCCATCTGGAGCGAAGATGATTTCACTGATCTCAAGCCAATATTCTCGTGTGACCCCCGTATCGGGAATGACAGAATAACAGTCGCTGTGGATATCATATCCACACCATTGGTCTCGAGTAGATGGTGTATTTCCAGAGCATGGTCGTTTCTTCTGAATGTACGACACAGCCCCAGGCAATGCGTTCGAACAGGAGGCCAGGGCAAGATAGAGAAGCGAATACAAAGCAATATTATACATATTGAATGATGTGAGATCGAATGTGTTTGATGATGAGTTGAAATAAAACCAGAATGCCTTGCTGATCTTGTCCTTTTAAACGATCCAGAAAAACCACGATGGCGGAACTACCGCCTTCGAGAACGAACTTCGTCTGGTCATTATGCGTTCTGGCCGGTCTCAGCGATATCGATGTTGATCCAAGTGGAATCCAGATCATTCACTTACCAGTGAGATATCGTGAGATGTGTTGAGAAGCCATAGCGTTGCATGTTGGTTCATCGGAAAGGTCCGCATATGTCAATGGCGTCGAAAGTCGACCGGTTCACACAAGATGGCGTCGAGATTCCATGTGACTTATCGAGATCCTGCTAAGTACATATTCCTCAGATCCAGAGATATGCATAGCGCTACTCAGACTGTAGAGCTAAGTATAATGAGTCTTGGTGACCCAGTCATTACTTACTGCAGCCGTCGGCCAGCCCGATGCATCGACACGGGCCCATGGGACAGGCGATTCCGCTTTGAAGGCGATAAGAAGTCAACATACCCGTGATATTCACGATCTTCATCATCCCAACCACACAATCTGAACCTTTCGATGTTGTCTTTCTCGTTGCATGTCCGGATGCACCATGCTGGAAACTATAGCCGAAGCCGATGATTGCAGGAGCCCAATCACGATTATAGAAGGAGATAGAGATCGGTTGAGGACAGGAAACGAGATCGGAAGTCACTCAAGGTCTTAGAACTTCCATGACTGAAGTGTTAAGGTTGAGGTACCAGGAGAAACCAGAATTATACGAACTGACTTTTGTCAAGGGCTGGTAGGAATTTGTGCTCGTCATTATTTGAAAAGTCAATAGAGGAATATTCCGCAAAAAATTCTTGGCATGCCACTCAGTTTATTGGGATGCAGCATGCTGGGTACCTATTGACTTGAAGCTCGTGTAAGTCAAGTTGTTCGAAGATACAGGGATCTCTATGGTGTTGATGTCCACTGAGCACCCCGCCAACGTCACCTGACGTCGCGACGTTACAGCGCATCGCTCTTTCCCCAGGCGCGACCCCTGTTGGGCAGGCATGAGTTGTGAGATCGCGCCTGCGATTTTATATAAACAGACTTGACTCTTTCAACTACTTATCCAGGTTTGTGAGCACGCAAGCTTGCCACCGCGAGACACGAACGTCATTTTTGTCAGTTGTTTCTTGCGAAGAGAATTCCATTTTGCTTTCAGTGCAGCCAATCGATCTCTTTGAGCAAATGGTCTATTCTTGTCCATCGACAACAAACTCCACCTATGCGACACCACGAGTCTACGAAACATCCCATTGCCGCCAGAGTTAAGGGCCATCGCGTGACGGGAAGCGCTCCTCTATCACTCCAGTCTTTTCACGGCAAAGCTGGCCGGGATCAAGCGAACCACACGATGCCGCCGAGCCTAAAAGACAAAGGCGGTCGGCTTCTGGCTTTTGCCAATGCTGGCACAAAAAATGAACTGCAATCACAAGTCGACATAAAATCCTCAAGTGTAGAGCCACCACGAAATGCTGCTCCACCTCCAGCTCCTACACCTCGTCCTTCTAGTTTTCCTCGAGAGATCGCGGTGCTTGGTGGTAGAAACACCGCACCCCCGAGACAAAACCACCCTTTCAGCCAACCACCGCCGCCCCATTCACCCCGTTCGCAACAGTTCTCAGTAGTATCTTCACCCAATGGTCATGCCAGACCTAACTCGAACGGTCGTCCAGATCTCTTCTCTGGCTCTCAGCTTGATGACAACTTCCTGGAGTCTGGTCTGACTACCCCATATAACGAGCCCTCTGAACCCGTTAGACTCGGGCCCGAGTTGACTCGTGATCTTAAGAAGAACATTCCGTCACACCAAAACCCTGATCGCAACCGATTTCAACGACCTACCGCGGCGCCGCTAAGCGATATGTTCGCTATTGGGGATGATCTTCGCATGAATGTCATCTCTCGACCTCAGCGACACAATATCGACCACATGGGCGATGGTTTTCAGGACAGCGTGAACGTTAGACATGGAAAAGCCAATGGTCATTACAATCACGGGCGAGCCCGTCCTGAATCACCTGCACGACCTGACTCCAGGATTCCCATGCGTGAAGTGAAAATTCGAAAGTCACATACTGGCCGGTCAGAAGCCTATGATATGAACAGGGTACCGAGCCCATCTCCCAAGCGCCGCGAGACACATCGGCCAAGCAACCATAGAATTGAGATGCCGCGAGAGCCTACTGTGCAGCATATCGATGACGAGGATTTGGAGAGTTCGTCCCGTGGTGGGGAGGTGGAGGAAGAGGAGGAGGAGCATGCGACACCCAGGCCCAAGGCCGCCGAACCGGTGATCCAGAGAACTCAGTTGAGGAGCATACCACCCATTACAGACCCAGTCCCAAGAATGAATCGCACAGACAAGAAACGACGCCGTCCAAACCCAGAGTACGACGATGTTGCCCTCAGATCCATGTCGTTCACCACCCTTCAACAGCAGCCTTTTGACTTCGATCCATCCAAGGATGAACAGAAGGGGACCGGAGTGGATCCTGGCAATATAGAGGCAAAATTGGACCAGTTTCGTCATCTTGGCGAGCAAGAACAGCATGATCTCTTCTCTCATATGTCGATTGAGAACTGGGAGACGTCTGGTAATTGGTTTGTCAGTGAGTTTAGTGGCTTGATGCAACGACTTATGGAGTCGAGGCGAAACAAGCGCATGATCATTCAGGAATTTGAACAGGAAGCGGCCGATCGTGAGGAAGCTGTTCGTCTCCGGACAGAAGCCGTTGACCGAAAGCTCTCCAAGATGAAGCAAGATGGCCAGCGAGTGGTTGACGATAAGACTGGATGAATCATCTACCGTTTACCGACGAGACTGTGCGAGACATGAGTTTTACGACCGATATGACTGCATTATGATGGAGTTGAGGCTGATTTGCTCGACATTGGGAGCGTGATATTTTCAAATGGTTTGCGAGAGTGCAGCAATATGCAGAATGTTCTCCTGCTAGACTATTCATAACCCTGTAGATATTTCTTTATATCATTAAGGCCTATAGA